TTTGATGTAGATAACTTGTCATTTAAGGAAATGAGAACTTATTTTTGGGACATCCAAATAAGGAAAGTAAGAACATCTTTGCGGGACGGAGGGAGTACATTGTACATAGTATGTACTTAGTATAAAACTAAAACATACATGATACATAAAACTAAAACATACATAAAGTTTATTCCATCAGGCAATCATATTCTTAGATACGTAGAATGATTTAAATATGACTTATTTGATTCTATTGATGAAATAATTTGATTAAAATTTCTCAAAATGAATGAGTTATATTTTGAGATTTGCGAATAAAATAATGATAACTCTATTTATGAAATTTGTCCTTGTTTTAGTTATGTTTAGATATAATTATCTCTTCACTCTTTTGACAATTAAGTACAATATTGGTGAGGGCAATATCATTTAATTCAAGAATCATATCATATTCGCGGAAAAATGGATTTGGGAATTAGATTAGAATATTAGATGGATCACGAAGATACTATAAGTCTATAACCCATCATTGGTGAGGGCAGAAAACGATTGTATGTCAATTTGAGAGCTCCTGTCCCAATACGAAGTAATTAACAAATTAATTGGTCAACAAATCAACAATTATCAATGATTGTGTAGGGTGGGGCGTCTAGGGTATGGGTGTTTGACAATTTTACTTAGTCTGCCCATACACCCATGATCAATTTGCTCCATACACTGTGTTTTTATATTGACATTTTAGATTGAATCCTAGCTAGAAGTCTCAGCCTTCTGTATTCTAGTACGTACACAGACCTCCTTCAATTAATTATACGGTTGGAGCGTGGCCTTGCATTAAAATTGCATTAAAATGTAAATTATACAAGTACTACGTATAAACATAGTTTGTAAAGCAGGATCTCATATTTTACAAGAGTGCAACAGTCCACTTTTAACATTTACTAATTTACAACTTTGACTATTAATATTCATAGTATACTATTACTACTCTTTATTAGAAATAAAATTACAAATATCAGATTTTGAAAATTTACAATGAGACAAATTTAACAATATTTTCATAAAACGGAGGAAGTATAAACTAGACGTCTAATTCATCATATCAAAGTTCAATAGACCAAACTAGATAAAAATAAAACTTCAGTCTAGTTAAAAACGTCCTAAGAATGGTTTAATCAAGCTTCTTTCTGTCTCAAACTATATAATACGGAGTCCTAGTTTTAGACAACCAGATTTACACAATAGTAAAATACAAACAAAATGGACATCTATCAACTCGATCATATCATATTATATTATAAAATTTTCAATCTAATTAAAAATTAAATACGTCATTTATTGAAATATTCAAATAGATCGAGTATGACTAATTACAAGTGCGTACCTTGAGTCCCCACTAAGCTACTTCGTGAGGAAACGAGCAATGAAATGAATAATTCACGCTGAAGGGTTATGAAATTATAATTCCCACAACACTAAGAACATATTATCATGCTCACATATTCAAATATATAATACTCCGTACTTGGGAATAAATAATACTCCCACAATCTATTTAAGGGTTTCTATTACGGGTTATGTTGTCACTTTTGACTTTTGCCCTGATCGATATTCGATAACATATACATAAGTACTATAATCTTACATATTTGAGTAATTTGTTTAACTAACTGTACAGTATACAGAAATCTGCCTAATTAGAATGAGACGAAGTATTAATATATCAAGGCTCACGGTATACACATCTATAAATTTATACGATTCATGAGTGGGTTGTGATATCTCAATTGTGCCATAAGATACGATTCATATGTCACACCAAAAGTGGTTAGTTAATTAGTCCTAGCCAAGGGAAATTTATCTCTTCATAACTTCATTCTCTCAATTGTTCAAATAAATCTGTTAAAGTTTTTTATGGAACCAAACTAATAATCCAATATGAAAAGTATATACTGCATTAAGGAATGAATGGATTTACTGATAAGGATATCTTAGTAAAATGATACATAGACAACGTCTATTTTAGTTTCAATTCAATAACCAGCTTGAATTGTTAAGGCTAGAGATTAAACAAAGTGATAATTTTTCTCGTGTACATTTGTGGGACATAAGCAAATTTAATAAAATAATTGGAACAAAGCTTTCAGATTTGATTAAAGGAATGTTTGGGATTCCACTAAATAAAAAAGATGAATTTAAAGTGGTTTTAGAGAAATTGCTTAATAGTAAAAATTGATGGTGTTCGGAGAAAATTGCTTTTGAAAAATTAAAAAATTATTAGTGTTTAAAAAAATTGTTTTTTGTTTAATAAGAAGACAAACAATAATTTGAAAAACTCTTTCACTTCCTTCCGGCTTTTAACTTTTAAATATTTAATTTAAAAGTTTGAAATATGGCTTTTAAATTTTTTACAAACCCTCCCTAATGGTTGTTTCCATCCATAACGCCTTAAGAGACAAGAGTTGAGACCTATCATGACTCATGTGTGAAGTGTGAACCCGCGGAAAAAGGAGGCTCCCTAGGTTGTTGGAGGAGTTGTTTTTTATAAATGTTATTGGAGTAATTACTAATTAGTACGTAATATTCTATATATTATGTTATAAATAAATGAATTAATTAATAATACTCCGTAGAAGGGAAGCGTCATATTGACTTGCAATTATGGATAGGTCCAGCACAGAAGGGGCAGCCCAATTAATCCCGGCCAACCACCCCCTATCAGTGTATTTAGTTCCACGCTGTACGATTAGTAAATGGACTTTGACTTCGGGAGTCACGCGTCTCGCGCTAGATTTGGCTGTACTAATAAATATGTTTCATATTATCTTCTATTATACAACAATAGGAGAAAATCTGGCCAGAATTCCCGCTCAAAACAGTCCAATCAAAGGCGGGGTCGGGTCGCACGGGTGGCGGGTCGGGTCTGGCAGCTTATTCAATGCTTTGTTCTTTTCGATTTGAGAATTTACTTTGCTGATGAGTTAGAATTGCTTGGCATTAAATGCATGACCGTTAACCAATAAAGCATTTGTGAGGCTCAATAAAAAGTATATCAAAGATGGGCAAAAGTATATCAAAGATGGGCTGCACGTTTTGCAATGGAGCAGAGAGTAAAAAAAGGACCAAGTTCAATTTAAAAAATGGGCTAGGGTCACTTCGAATTAATGAGGGTGTACTCTAAAATCTTTAATTGTCATTCACAAATCCAAATGGCAGAGTTACAATAAATTTCAAAGAGCTGGTAGCTGTTTTTACATTTAATAAGTGTACTATAAAATCTTTTGGACAGATTTCGTTAATGGACCTATGGTCAATAACCCCCTTATTTTCGAACAGCCAAACCATTCACCACCTATAAATACACTCAAATGGGTTTCAGACAACACCACCACCAAGCAATTAACAAGTTCATCAAGCACCAAATCTGCTCCAATGGCATGTCCATCAACCCAAACCGGAATGTGGTCCCTGATCAAAGACATTGATCACACAAAGACCACCTGGGCTTTGAGGGTAAGAGTTGTGCGAGTTTACGAGGTGCCTCCCCATTCCAAGGGTGGTGAGACCCTTGAGATGGTGCTGCATGATGCAGAGGTAATGGTCTAAAACTTTGTATTACCAACTACATTCTTACAGAGGAAGTAATTTTTAAAATTTTTTATAGGGCGATCGTATTCACGCAACTGTAAAGAGGCCGCAGTTGGCAATGTATAGACCTTTGATCAAGGAACACCAAGTGTATGCACTGAGGAACTTTTTAGTGTTGGACAACTACCAGACAGTGAAAACAACTCCACATCCTTATTTAATACAGTTCATAAGCAAGACTGCACTCAGGGAAGACAAGACGGAACTACCTATGTTTTTGTATGACTTTCAACATTTTGGTTTGCTTCAAGAGCAAAGGGTGATCAATGACAGACAACTCATTGGTAGGGGTATTTTTTTATCAAATGCTTTTGTGTAAACGTAGAGAATTAAATATGTTGACTTTTATTTGTCAGATGTGATTGGTAAGGTCATTTGCCGAAGCCCAGTTCAAACACACATTATCAATGGAAAGACTGAAAGATTGATGGAGCTAACTTTGGGTGACCCTGAGTATGTATATATTTTTTTAAAAAAGTAACTACTGACTTGGTTGTGAACCTTCTAAAGCATTTTGATGGTCCATAACTTTGCATACGTATCCACATTATTACAGGGGCAACAGACTTGGTTGTGTGCTGTGGAATAAATATATAACCCAGTACGTGGAATATGCTACTCAGCATCTTGATGAAGCAGTTTATATAATATTTCAGCTTTGCAGGCCCAAAAGATATCAGGGTATGAACAATTATCTTCTACTATTTTGTTATAGCAAAAGGTTTTTTTCCAACTAAAACAATTTCATATTACAGGTGCCCTGTCTGTATCATCTTCTTTTGATGTGTCAAAACTGATAATTAATGGCACAACTACAGAGTTTCTGGACTTCATAAGCGAGTAAGCCTCTATGATTTCAACCATAAAGTTCCAATATGGAAAAGCTCTTAACATTCTAAGGGTCACAGATTTCCGGGTGACGGTGATGACAATATGACGGTAACGACTGTCACACAAACCACACAGGGTGATGAAACTGGGGATGATATCCTAAGCGGGCATGCAAACATAACAACTATGAACACTTTGCTTAACACAACCGAGGTGGGTGGCATAACATCTAAGAAATGAATCTACTAACTTTTCAAAGATTAATAATATAAAAATGCATTAATATGGGTGTTCTGACATGCAGGAAGGGTTTTACTGGGTGCTTGGAGACATAGTCTCCATAGAAAATTTTCGAGAATGGTGTTACCTCAGCTGCCCAACGTGCAACAAGAAACTGAAACCTGAGGAAGAAAGATTTCGATGTTCTAATTGTAATGAGACACTGGCTGAGGGTGTTTATCGGTGGGTGAATGTTTCATAACAGCTTATACACTGTGTATGGTTTAATGTTGCTAAAGATTTAACAAAAAAAATTACAGCTACAAGGTCAGCATTTGTCTCATGGACAACACGGGACATGCTACATTTACCCTGTGGGACAGAGAATGCATAGATTTCTTTGGGAAAACATCAGAAAGTTTGATGCTTGAATTGGAGAAGGTACCTTTACAAATAAATGTTTTCAAAGCATTTGTGTATTAGTTCTGAAACTTGATCAATTTAATTTTGCAAAAACAGAAAACTGGAGACACAACAAGGTTTCCTGAAGAGATTGAGAGTTTGATTGACCAAAAAGCACTTTTCAGAATTCAGATAAAGAAAAGATCTGACGAAAATACTTACAAGGGAACTTTTTCTAGGGGAATTGTATCTATGATTCGGACCGCCTCTGTTGTTGCATTGTACGTAGAGGATGAGAAAGAACAGACAGCCAAAGATGATACGACCCCAGAGAAGGTAAAAACAATATATAAATGTTTGACGGTTTAGGTTCGAAGTAAATACTGAACATCAAAACTTTTTAATAACCAGGTTGGCTCAAGCGCAAGCATTGGAGAAAAGATAGCAAGGAAGGGTAAACGTGTTTCAGCTGAGAAAGAGGTATAAACATAGTTATTTTACAAATGCAAGAATAGGGTTTTCGGTGTTCCATACTAACAGTTTTTTAAAATCAGGACCGTTCTCCTATTGACCTACCAGATACTCCACCAGAATGCACTCAGAGGGAGGTTGAAGTTGAGCTGACTGATGAAATCAAACGCAATCTGAATGATGAGTTTTCTACCAATGGAAAACTGAAGAAGCTCAAGATGAAAATCAAACAGGAACCCGGTGTTTAGGGAAACTAAGGAGTCATTTACCAAGACATTGTTTAAAAAATCTCTTTTGCTGTTTTAAGGCTGTGTGTGCCTAAACTACTGTTTTGGATGTGTTCGAACACTAGCACAAGGACACTCTAGATTTGGGATGAAAGACTATTTGTTGCTTTAATCATCTATATCTATTATCTATGTTTTGTCACCAGGTTTGTTACTTGATAAAATCTTACTGCGCTTACAGGGTCCTATGTGTACGGCTTTGATAAAATTTGCAGGTTCATCAAGTTGAAGTGTTCTACGAATATGGGAGCCAAACTCATGATGTTTGTGAATGAAAAGGGAATAGACTGCTTATCACAGTTTTTGATACAAATTTTCCTGTTTTTCAGGTAAATACAGATCAGCCCGAAATGAACGCAGTAGGATGCCTGGATCAACTACGACTGGAGCATAGGAAAAAGACATACTAAGTTGTACATTGTATAGCTAGATTACTTATATGAGTTACAAATGTATTAGGGATGTTTTGACCTACTTTATTTAACTTTGAATAAAGTTTCTTTTTTTAATGTTATTTTTCTAAGTTTTGCAATGCATGATAATAATGGAAGATGTGTGAAATGAGTTCATACCTGGGCCTTAAGTTGAGCATACCTGCAAACCCTACTCATACTAAATTAATATTACAAACCCTTATGAATATTACACATTGTTGGCAACCATCTAAGGTCCCAAAACTAAACCTATTACAGTTGTTTCTAACTACTCTTGAAAAGTCCTTATGTGGAGGCAAAGCGTAACTGCAAGAATAATTGTTGTTAATTAGAAAGGTTAAAATAATAAAGTGCATAAACAATATTTAAGTCAGAATGAGTCTAAGTGATTCTCTGATTGTTATTATTTTCGAGTCTAAGTAATATTGTTGAGAAAAAGTTCACTTAAACTCTACTTTAAAAAAATACAGAATAGTAAGTGAATTTTCATCCATAAAAAAAGAATTGTTAGTGGAATTGTTTATTTTATCGTTAGTGGAATTGTTATTTCAGAAGTTAAATAAATTCAAGGGCGGAATATTTTATTAAACCAATAATGAATAGCCTCAAAATATAATTTAAGTTCATTACATATTAAAAAAGAATACATAATTTGATAATAAAGTTAATTTTTAACTTCAGATTAAAAGTGGAGATAAATATCAAAAATAGAAACAAGTAGTAAATAGGTTTTAATCATCAAAGGCTTGGTAAAACACAGCCCAGAATAAAAAATACTCTAATTCAAATTTGGTACTACTTTGCTGCTTTTTTTCTTATTAATATTCCTTATAAAAGCATTTTTTAAAATTCTTCTAATAATAATAACAAATATATTCATATGAGTACATAAGTATAAAAAAACGTATAAAATTGTTTGCCCAAATATATTCTGAAGCTCAAGTTATTTTTTATACACTTGAACATGTAACCGATGTACTTCACTAAACAATATAATTGTCTTCTACAAAATTAATTAAAAATGATGAAATCTGTTTTTACTGCCCTTAAAAAATTTTATTTTAAAGTCTATGAATTTTTATAAACAAGAGTTTTACTTTGTAGTTTAAAAACACAAATGCTAAGGAAACCATTTAAAATTGTGAAGTACATAGTGCTTAAACAGGAATTTTGGGCAATTACTTTTAGCCCTAATGTGGCTGCCCAGGTATTTAAGGTTTTAATTACCAAGACTTCCAAAGGGCATATTTTTTGTGATGTTGCATATTATAAATATAAAACATTGCCCAGAGTAATAATTGTTATTGCATTACAAATTATGAAATAATAATTACAGATAACATTTTATAAAAACGTAAAAAATATTTAAGTCAGAATTGAGAAAAGTTTCCTTAAACTCTACTTTTAAAAAATACAGAATAGTTAACGAGAAGGGCAGAATATTTTAAAAAGCCAAAAATGAATAGTTACAATATAAAATTTAAGTTCAAAAAGTGCAGGTAAATATAAAAACTAGAAGCAAGTAGTGAATAGGATTTAATCATTACAGACTTGGTAAAACACAGCCAAGAATAAATGGTTACAGAATAGATAATAGAAAATGGAGCCTGTCAAAGCATCAATATTAGAAAACATTTTTAAAAAGTAGTGAGTTAAGAAACGTAATTATTATTTCAAAGTACAGGCTGGTATAGAGAGGACCAACTTCAAATATGGCTATGTCATTTCGCATTTATGAAACTGTACTACAAAATCCTTGAATGTCATTTCGATATGATATGGTTAAATTATAAAAAGAAACGTGTAATCAATGCTCACATTAAATGAACATTGTGGTAGCATGGTTTAGATTATCACAACATCGAAATGATTAGAAAAAAGATCTGATGCAAGATTTAAAGGTAAGTTAGTGGTACTTTAAAATCATTTTAAAACAGAGTCATAAATGCAAGGAAGCATTAGTATAGTGTATAGGTCTGCACACATTAAATGAACACAGTAGCAGGATATCTATCCTAGGTTGGCGCGCAGATCTGCTCATTAAATGGGAATGGACAGCGAGTAGATATCATAATATATTGCTGAACTCACTTACCAGTGGTCAAAAACCTGTTTTGGAAGCTGAGTTAATAAATACCGTCGTAGGAGCATTTACTCCATGCTCAGAATCTCATTTACTCTCCTCAACCACAACATCTAACCAGAGCATTGGAGTGCATTTTTAGAGTATACAGTCTTGCCAGCATTGGAGTGCACCAGAATTACCAAAGGTATTATTTCTACTATGATATGTAATCAGAATATGACATGTACATATGATAAATGCATGATGCCTACTATTATGAACATTCATGAAAGCAGATATAATTCCATGCCTTTGAAATAATTGAATGACATATTTCAACTATTTCATTTAAGATGAGATGCTGTTCAGGCACAAACTGTGAAAAGCCAAAATGTCATGCGTGTGGCAAACACCCTGGACTCTTTCCGTTGAAAACATGCTTTGGGTGTAATGCAAACTTGAGTCATTTTTACTGCATGGAGCCTCTAAACAAGAAAAGGTTTACTGGGAAATACATATGCATAGAATGTCAGGAATGGGTGAATGCAGACACTGATATACCTAGAAGATCAGGTCGGATTGTGACATTGAACCAGAAGTACTTCAATGAAAACATGTGTGTGGGGATGAGTTTTGGTTGGCTTAACATGTCATGACTGTAGTAATGCATTCCTATCAATGACTATGACTAAGGTTTTTGTTGGATATGTAAGATAGGTAAGCTGTTTTGTTTTTTGCATATTGTGTGGGCTGGATGTACTCATGTAATGCTCAATGATGATTAGTGTAGAATGTTGTTAACGAATTGTTGTGCAATGGTGGACATGTATACAGAATGCATTTCCTAAATGATGTTATTTTACCTGACAGATGTTTCGTGTTCTATATGGTTTTAAATTGTTTCATAAATATTTTAGAACGAGCTTATTATTGTATATATATGTCAAATATGTCAATAATATGTCAATACACATTACATAAGAGGATGGTGAAGAGAAGAAATTGAGATGGCATTGAATTAGGTACTCGGGGGTTACATGTTTTCTGGCCAACGGACTGCCAGACCACGCAGTTCCGAAGGCCACTTTGGTGGCTGGCAGGGTATCCGGCAGTCCTATGGGATGGGCCATAAGAACAAGCAACCACCATAAACAAACCGAATGAGAACTTATTAAAATGAAAGTAATAAAATGTAACAAAACATTTTGAAAGAAAACAAATTCACAGGTTTTAAAAGGTCCATCAATTGAATTTAACAAGATTCCATTTTCATTTTTAATAACAGCCCTTCAATGAAGAAGATCACCAAAAGCACAACAATCAACTGTAAAAGAAGTCGTGAAGTGGCGAACAACAAAGGTAGGTTTTTTATTCATAAATGTCATATATTTCTGTTGCACAATACATATCTAGGTGGTCATGAACTAATTAATAATTTTATAACCAGTTCCAGAGTACAAGAGAAATAAAAAAAAAATTAAGTTACATACATGACTGAATATAAGTGTACTTTAAAAAATACAAAATGTGTATTTTCTCCACTTAATGGTTATGTATTACAAACTTGCACAGTAATTATCAAAAATTGGAAAAACAAAAAAATAAATTGTATATTACTCACCCAAAATACACCCAGAATTGAAGTGTGTAGGGAAATTAGTTCTTCACTTTAGGTCTGAATGTATTTTTGAAAAGAACATAACACCAAAAAGAGAATAAATTGGGAGGCACTGGAAAATACCGACTTTGGGTAAAATATTAATCTTTAATTCTGTACATACTACCCAGAAAATAGGCTTTGAAAGGCCATTAACAAAATAGACAGCTCAAATAGGCCAGAAAATAGGCTTTCGAAGGCCATTAACAAAACAGACAGTTCGCATTTAGGTCAAAACAATGGTCTTAGTACATAATCTGTACAGAACAAAACTCCAATTTTTAAAAATCAAGATATGAATAAGTGAAGGGAAAACAGATCTGAGGTCCTTTAGAATAAGTGATGGATTAAGCAATGTACTCCGTATGAGACTAATCCAAAACATGAAAAGTTAGATATTAAAATCGGGAATATTCAAGAATAATACAGCCTGAGATTAGTACGTTTCGTTCAGACGGGCTATGGCATCTGTACAACAAAAAGGTGTTTAAATATGAGTGCGATGAATTTAAACAACAGATCTGAGATGAACTATTCCATAGACTGTCAAAGTTGAAATAACCCATATACAAACACAAAAATGACAGACAACAACTCTGAGATCATAGAGTATCACTCAGGCTTAGTTGATAATCTAAACAGAACAAAATTCACACTTAAAATATGAATACGCCGAAAAGGATAAATAGATCTGAGATCATGTTATATCACTCAACCTTGATAAAATTCACTCAGTGAATGAAAATAAAAATGGATTCGACACGAAAAAAACTGGGCATCCGCGTCACATGCCAGTGCCAAACAGCACAAAAAAACTCAGACTGAGATCATATTATATCACTCAACCTTCGTATAAAACCAATATGACAAAAAAAATGAAGGAGGTTTGAGATTTGTACCCCAAGAACAGATTCGCAGGCCTGAATTACTTTGTTATCGCTCAGCTT